AGGGGTGATTGGTATCGATATATAATTACCCGGCTAGTAATCGATATATATCGGTCTATTTTTTTTGCTGATGTTGGCCTCATCCAGCAGAGACTTACAAGGTGGTTGTCTTTGCCTTCAAAGCGTGCATCTACATGGAGCATTGGAATATCTTGCTTTTGCTTTATAAGCTCAATATACATAGAACTAGCATCACTAGTAACTCTTTTTTCATGTCTAATAGCCTGAACCAGATTATAAACGTTACGAGTATGGATATACTTTGTTGGGTTTTTACGCTATAGGACTTCAATAATAGCTCCAGCGTGTACTCTAGAAGCCGCAAGGATTTTTACTTTATCACGAATTTCTGGAGAAAGTTTACGGTAATGAGAAGCAACCATGTCAATGTTTTCAACAAGCTCATGGTTATGTTGACCATCAACCTTAGTAATATAGACCAAATTGTCTACCTTTCGGTGATACGTATTTATGTAGAATTTACAATTTTCTGTATGATGTCCTTTGTTATGGCCTTCAATTATATGAGCTTCTTTTTATAGAATATGCACTCGACCTTTCATATACGCATAAACATGTCGTCAGAGAAGTCCATCTTCTTTATCTTTTTCACTGTGTGTAATTGTAAAAGCAAAGCCATATTCCAAGCCGTGATTGTCAAGATGCTTTAAAAAAAAAAAAAAGTTACCAATTATTACGTTAATAACAACACAATTATTTAATTTTATAGTTAATAGTTACTCATCAAGTTCCTTCCAACACTTAAAGTCCATTCCCTATACAACTGGATATAAAGGTCCTGATTCCTTAGTATTTTCATTATCACCGACTTCTGGTGGTTTATTTAAGCAATGTAATTCTATGTCTGTTACTTGTAATCTTTCATCATAAGTTTCTAACTGGTCAAATTTATCTTCCAACACGTCCAAATAAGGTGGTTTCTCAACAACTGTTAATATGTCTTTTTGAGTTTCACGTATATCTGACTGATTAAAATCATCACTTGGTTCACAGGTATCAACGATACTACTATAATTATTCTTAATATCAAATAATAAGGAGAATAAAGGATGTTCTGTGTTATTAAAATAAGGTTGTTCATCAACTTTCAGATGTTGTAATTCTCCAACATCAGTTCTCCATTGAGTTTCATGTATATTCGAATGATTAAAATAGTCTTTGGGTTCGCAGGTATCAGCAAAACTGTCACGACCATCTTCAGTATCAAATAACGAAGGGAATAAGGGAGTTCTGTATCGTTAATATTTGTTAAGTCATTCATTACGAATCACACTAATCTTTTTTCTATTTCTAGTTCTAGAGAGAAAGTCAAGTGCAAAAGGATCGACGGACTCAAAAATTGTTATTTATAAGATCAGATCCGATTACATCATAATTAAATAGTTAATTTGATGAATGACGATCATATATGTAAACAAGTGGTGTTTAGCACTACTGGTTTGATATAAAATTTTCGTTGGATTCAATACTATCTTCATTATTATATTTGATACTATCTTTATTATTAGATTCGATACTAGATTCAAACTCATTGTTTTCTTTATTTATTCAATTTAATTTTACTTTTCTATTAGATTAAATTTAATTTTAAAAATGATGTCTAAAATATTATTCTCTTACCCTGTTTATTTAGATTTTTAAAATGGTTCATTTTTATAAATAATACATAAATTTCTAGTAACAGCAACTTGTTAAAACACAAGTGCAGTATTTTGAAACTACATACAATTTAATAAGCTTTTACCCTCTATACCCCTCTAATTTAAAGTTAATCTTCGAGCTATCAAAATATAGTCTATACCACAGTAGATTTGAAGCTATGCTATAAAAATAAATATATTATAACTATGTAATTTTATTCCCCTCTGATCTAATTAATTTCTGAAAAATGATTAGTAATAGTTATGTATTAAAATTAAAAATGGTGACCAATATTTGCTATGTTGATAAAAAAGATAAGTCATGTAGATGCTGTGTTGGTAGATCATCCTGTTAATAAAAGTTGATATAAATAAAAAAAAGTTAATAGTTACTTAAAAAATTAGATTACTTTCATCAATGATAAAATAAAATAGAGATTTTATTGATTATAATTATTAAATCTAGCTAGTACATTTTTTTTCATAACTACATTTTATGAAAATATAATTTTTTAGATGCAAGCATAATATTCACAATGATAAGTAAAATTTATATTCTAATTTATAAAGATTATATTACTAAAAATTTTTATAGTCTTTATGGATTAATATTTAGTATAGATGTGCAAATATAATTAATATAATATATTGACTTTGAACTAATTTAAGCAAATTAATAAATAGCAATAGGTTAGAGTTTAAATTAGCTAAAATATTTGTTTACTTCTCTATAATCACCCAGTTTACTGCAGCAAAAATAATGATAATAGGCGAGCATGATAATAAAATATATATCTTATATAGTCACAATAATAAATAAAATTGTTATATGACTATATAAAAATAAATATTTACAATTACAAATAGTAGTTACATATCCAAGTCAAATGTTCTATAGAATAAATAGGCAAATTCTATGTAAATATATTAACAAATTAATTATAGATATTGGTTAAGCTTATTTTTATATTGCCTCCTATTCTATAGAACATCTTAAAAGTCAAAATTTTGCTAAGATATTGACTTTTAATTATTAATAAGTAATTTTTTTTTTAATATTAAGGTGAGGCCTTGCTTATATCTTTATTGAATAATTTATATAAGTAATTACATAATAAAATTATATGAAAAAACTTAATTTGTATAAAAACAAA